AAGGTCTTTTCCAACCTAAACGATTCTATGATTCTAAGGTGCTTGCTGCAATTTGGACACATATGATTTTCCCCTCTTTCTTCTAACAGGATCGTCAAAATGCACGGAAAATTCATGAGGCAGCTGGACTTCCTTTCTTTGAAATCTTTGTAGATGCTCCTCTAAATATTTGTGAAAGCAGAGATGTGAAGGGCCTGTACAAAAAGGCAAGAGCTGGAGAGATCAAAGGTATGGAAGAGTGAGCTCTTATTTTGCATTTTGCTTTCCGAAGCATTGGATAGCGTGTTGTTGCAGCTCTGCACGTAGAGGTGGGTTACTAAAGGCTCTTTGTAGTGCTCAAGAGTATCCTGTTTCCCTGGTCTTGCTGTCGCAACTGTCACTTGTAGTACCCAGTACAGTTGAATGCTTGCTGGTTGTTTGTACAGTGTTGTTTGCTCTAGGGCACCAAGTATTACATTAAATAAATTTAGTTTGGGTTTAATTGTCTGTAGGATTCACGGGGATTGACTCAGAGTACGAGAAGCCTGAAACACCTGAACTAGTGTTGAAAACGAATGTTGCGTCAGTGTCCGAATGTATTCAGCAGGTTGTGGAGCTCCTCCAAACACAAGTAGGTCATTTTTATGCCACCACTGCTGGCAGCTTGTAAACCTGCTTTCAGATACTGACTTTTTGGTGTGCATTTAGAAAACAGCATCTTACTTACAATTGCTGTCTGTCTCTCTCTTTCAGAACATCGTGCCCCATGGCTCGATTAAGGATGTTCTTGAGCTGTTTGTACCTGAAAATAAACTCAATAGTGTCCGAGCTGAAGCGGAGATGCTGCCATCCGTAGAGATCACTAAGGTATGATTGTGCGCAGGTGCTGTGCTGTGATTCAGTCACTGTTTAGCTGTTTGAAGGGTAGAAGTTTCGACGGGGATGTTGCTAGAGGGGGCTCTGTTCCTCTGATGGCTGTGTCCTTTTGTGGCTGCGGTTTATGGTGAGCTGAAGCGTGGTCCTGATCCTCAGCCATGTCTCCACCCTGTGCTGTAGCAAGCCAAGGCCGTCAGTGTCCTTTGTCGGGTTAGTACAGCCCCGCAAGCAGTCATGCTATGAAAGTACATGAGTTTGGCTTAAAAAAAAAACCCAAACCAACCCCCCTGTGGCTTTCTCCCCCTTTATGAATGTCCTGTATTTGAAGAAAAGCAAATGAGAGCACTGTTGCAGTGGAAGGGAAGGAAAAGCAACCTTTGAGCGTGACCTGGTGACAGGAGTGCCATTTGGGTTTGTTTTGCAGCTGGATCTGCAGTGGGTGCAGGTGCTGAGCGAAGGCTGGGCCACTCCGCTGACCGGCTTCATGCGCGAGGCAGAGTACTTGCAAGTGATCCATTTTGGCACCCTGCTGAATGGTACGAATCCCCACACTTTGCATTAACGCTGGCCGGCAAGCCGCTGCGGGATGTGATGCTTACCCTGCGGTGTCTTGGCAGGCAGCTGTACGGAAAAGCTTAACGCTCGGCCATGTTTGTCCTCCTCCTTTCCTCTTGCGTGTTAAATGCAAGGGCTTGTAAAGGGCCCCGGGGGCTGGGAAGCCGTGCTCCGAGATGCACCAAAGGGTACAATAAGTGACAAAGTTCACCGTGCTGTGCCGGGGGCCCTGGCTCACGGCTTTGACGTCTCACACGGTGCCGACCAAACATTTTGGCAGCCATTGTGTAGCTCTTTTCATGCTCAGTTATAGCAGGGTAAATAAAGATACAAACCCAAAGCCAAGTAAGCAGGGAGGCTGCCAGGCTAGATTTGAGGTGGGAGGAGAAGGCAGCTGTTCCTTGGAAACAGGAGCAGAGCCTGATTTCACTTTTTTTTTTCCTGTTCTCCTGCTTATCCATTACCGTAACTTGAACTAAATCAGATTTATCTATTCATTAGCAACTTGTTGGAGGTGCTTCATCTCTGGAAAAGGCAGAGAGTATTCAGGCAGTGATCATCTACAGCTGAGACCCGGGCAAGAAATATTTCTGTCCCGTTTCTCAGCTGTAGATGCCGTCGCTGTGACTTCACATGCATGCAGGGCTCTCAGTTTGGGTTTTGTAGACCTGATAGTGATCTCTGGCCTTGGGGATTTGGGGTCTTGGTGAGCAAGGCCCTTTGAGTGCTGCCCTCCTAGAGGATCCCATGGTCACGTGGGGCAGTGACTTGCTGTTGTTATTAGGATTTGGGCACCATGCAACAGATACAAAGCTCGGGACTGCTCGGTTTGGACCAGAGGAGTGTCTGTGTGGGGGCTTCTGCTTTCAGACACGTCGTAGCCTTTCACCTCCTGCCAAGTGTGCAAACAGTGTTCAAAAGCACGTGTCCTTGTTATCAGACCCCGATCTGTGGTCTTTGAGCTGCCTGTTGTGCCTGATGAGGTCGCAGAGGCGCCCCGTAACGACCACGTTGCTCCAGAGCAACGCACTTTGCGCTGGAGGCTTGTCTCAGCAAGCATCTGTTTTTGTGGCACTCCCCCAAACCTCTTGGCATCACTGAGCACAGCTCCTCTGGGGTCTGTAGGCGTATGGTCAGGATTTGTAGAGCTCCATGGGGTCAGGGACAAAGCCCAGGACACCTGCTTTTAGGGATGAACTCTCCAGAGCAAAGTCTTTGTAGTAGAGGGCATCAACATCAGTCCCTGGTCCACCTTGTCTCCACGGAGGTCTCCAAACTCAACATCTGTGTGGTCAGGTCCGCAGGGTGACATCTGAGCAGGAAGGAGAACATCCCTGCTTTGCTTGGATGAGCTTCAGGAAATGGTGGAGGCTATCCATCTCATGGTGCCGAGGCTGGAGTGCGTGTTGCGAAAGAGAGGTTTGAGGCTGGTCTTTCCAGAGTCATCGGTCCAGCCCTGGGGTCATTGGTCACCACCCTGGGGCGTGGGTGATATTTTTGGCAGCTCCAGCTGTGCCTGGAAGGGCTGCGATTGCTTTGGTGGACTTGTGCAAGTTAGTGCTCCTCTCGCTCAGACTTTGAGCAGCAAATCCCACCTTGATACTACCAACAGTTGGGTGGATGAGGTGCTTTGTGTTAGGGGCACAATGGCCACCAGGAAGAAAGGTGGATCTGCACGTCATAGGGCAGGAGTACCGCAGACTCTCCAGCGCTCTGCCCTCTGCCCCAGCGACGCGTGCCTCTCTTGGGACTGAGTGACGGCAAAAGCGTAGGTGTTGTACATTGCTCCCGGCCAGTGCGACCCGTGTTGGATGGGTGAGCGCTGGAGACGCTGGGGCAGCGCCGTGGAGGACCACGGCCACGCCAGCAGACACCCTGCCTGCGGTTAGGCAGCGCTTGCCAGAGGTTTTAAATGAGCGGCGTTGATTCTTGGAATGACTACTGTAACTGGTGCCCATGAGTGTTAATTATCTTAATTGTGTTTGTATTCTCCCAGGAAGGAATTGCTTTGTAGCTGGTATGTATATAACTGTTCTTAGGTTGTACAGAAATCACTTCTATTTAGATTTTTTTGCTATAAAGTAATTCTTTGAGATTACAAAAAAAAAAAATTATTAAGACTAGACACAACCACGTCCTGTTTATGATTCGGCTGGTTAGAAAGCGGTATGACACACCCCATGTCCTACCGACCGGTCTTCACAAAAATCCCAGTCGTGTAATTTTGTAATTACCTTTGCTGGAGTGATTTTTGGGGTTTTTTTTTTTCAACTCTGCATCTTGCATTTGGAAATGGAGCATGGAGATCTTCAGCTTCAGCATCAAATGAGCTTTTTCCATGCTGACTTTATTGACTGATCGCTGGTTAATATAATTTAAATGTATGAAGCTGATATTGATTGGCTCCCTTGTGACTATAGTTATGATAATTCATGAAGGTGATTGAAAATTGCTGTCTGGCAGACGAATGATACCTAGTTGTGAATTAAAAGTAAATGCAAACATTTTAATAAAGATTTTTAAAAAATCTACATCATAGCCAAAATCCTCAAATTAAGACCCTCAGGGGTCCAAAATTATTTCAGACAGATCAGAACAAATTGAATCAGTGATTTGTTCATTCTTGTTTGTGAATGGAAACCCACGGGAGAGACTGATTCTTCTATATTAATACTGGGATATGCGAGGAGAAATGAGAGGCCCTTAGCAGTGAACTGGGAAATTAGGGGAGTGGGGATTAAACCAACATGACTTCGAGGTATTTAGGGCCAACACTGAAATCAGAAACTACAGGTGCAAATGTAGACTCGCTGTATGCACACAGAAAAGAGATTAAAAATGGATTCTGCAGAGATATAAAGGAGGAGGAATAACAGTATAGAGATAGCCAGAAAAAAAAACAGAGAAAGCAAAGTGTGACGGTGTTTTCCCTTTGGGAAGAGGCAGTTCAGGAGGTGCATGGGGAATGAGATGCCCCGGGGAACACCAAGCCAGAGCTGTCTTAATAGAGGTTGTTCTGGCAGAGGAGATGGGGATTATAACCAGGGTTGCATTTTCCAAGTACGTTTAAATTTTTCGAAGAGCCTTTACAACAAGCTAACTGGAGAAGAACCAGTCTTTCCAGGGAGATAGTGCAGAAAGTAATGAAATGCTCCAGGTGTCTTTGAGACATCTCTGGCCCAAAGATAAAGCGCTTTCGTATTCCACTGACATCGCTATCTATTAGCAGTGCAGAAAAAAATGGGGCTGTGAATAAATTTACATGACTGATGGTGAATCCCTGAGCTAGTCCTGGAAAATTTGGCTTTCCAAAGGGAGGACGTGTGCCTCTGAAAACCTCTGTTTACTCGGTGCCCAAGACCCGTGCCCGAGCTGGAGGACATTAAAATCCTCCCCCTCTCTTGCCAGACGGTGTTGTCAACCTGAGCATCCCCATTGTGCTGCCCATCTCCACGGAGGACAAGGAGCGGCTGGAGGGCTGCGAGGCGCTGGCGCTCAGCTACGCGGGGCGGAGGGTGGCGGTCCTGAAGAGCCCCGAGTACTTCGAGCACAGGAAGGAGGAGCGCTGCGCCCGTGTCTGGGGCACCACCTGCGCGAAGCACCCGCACGTCAAAGTAGGTTTGTCCCCTTGCTGCTCGGGGAAACCTGGCCAGGATGGGAAGTGTGGGCAGGGGCTGGAGAATTGAACCTTTCCAAGGTTTTGAGGGCCATGGGTGTCCTGTCTGCTCTCCAACTCCAACTCTTCACTGGGAACCATCGTGTCCCAGGCAGGCAGGACTGAATTTTTAGGCTCGTGAGTTAATGCTGCGCTTGCTGCTTTGCAGGAGCATCAGATAACAAGCGCCCGGTGAAAGGGAAAATGAGCATGCTGCTGAGGAGCTGCTCCTTTCGTTTGCTCCTCTTCACTGCTGTGCCTACATCCAAATATTTTTAGCACGACCACCAACTTAGCCCCCAAAGTTTTCCTGCGCTTGGGGTGTGACGATCTCCGTGATGCTGCCAAACGTTAATGCTGCAGATTGCAGGCTCATGCTCCTTTTAGCTATGTTTTACTCCTCAGCTTGGCTCTTTTGTACAGACAGCCAACAAGGGTGTTATATTTTTACAGCTTATCTCTTCCCACTTACTCTCTGGCAGTACAAAGAACATCATCCTTTAGAAAGGGAGAGCTCCAGGTTACACCAAGTGACATGAGCTGCCTGCTTAACAAGGCTAAAGCCATGTTAGTTCTTCTCCCCTAATGTAAAATAACTCTTTTAATTATTCAGCAGCACTTGCTCACCTTGCACCAGGCTTTTTTCTCCTGTGTATTCCCAGGAGGAAAGAGCAAAGAGTGAGGTGGAGGAAGGTCTTGTGCCGTAACTTGTAGACCCCCAGCTGCCAGAGAGGTCCAGCACCCAGCCGGGTGCAGCAGTAGGGTCTCGGTGGCTGATGCCTCGCTTTACAGGGTTGCGCTGCTCATGACAGTCAGTTGACGTGGTCGCTGTAAGTATGTTTTCCACTTACGATGTGCTGAACGAGAAGGGAAGGTCACCCTACAAGCAGAGTCAAGCCTAACGCTTTTCAAAGGAGACTGGGAAAGGGAAAAGGAGACATTTTGCTGTCCCCTCCGTAATGCACGTGTGTGTAATTCACAGATGGTGATGGAGAGCGGAGACTGGCTGGTTGGTGGAGACCTTCTTGTGCTGGAGAAGATCAAATGGAACGACGGGCTGGACCAGTACCGCCTGACACCACTCGCTCTCAAGCAGAAGTTCAGAGAAATGAACGCTGGTGAGTGCCCGGGGTTAGCACTGGGAACACGGCTCTTCTTGCCCTACCTGGCACCAGGAGGTTTCTGTGATCTGTGATTTTACTTGCTCTCAAGCCCACAGCACTTGCCAAATTGCTTCTGTGTGCTCCCAAAATGGGACTGTTCGGGTGGGGGGAGCAGTACGAGGGATGCAGGGCACGACACAAAAAGTGGCACGGGGTCTCCTTGGTTAAGGACGGTGCTTGTGGTGGGCTGTGTCCTAAACGGGCCTCTCCGAGCGCGGGACTGGAAAGCATCGAGCGTCCTGCTCGTGTCCTCCCTGGCAGGTCAGAGCCTCTCTTCCCACATTTAAAGCTGTGCAGATGTGCTTGGCCTTCACACGTCGGGGACAGCTCAGGTGTCTTCTCCCAGGTGTCCATCCTGGCAGGGTGGCAGGCGTCAGACCCCTACCCTCACTTTCGGGAGAGAGCATTGGCCTTCCTAAAGGTGCCATTGAGCTTGGAGACGTGGCAGGTCACTTACAAAGTCAGGGAACTGGGTGAAGGTGTCCGGTGACATCTAAAAACATTGTAGGAGAGCTGATAGGTCTGAAATTGGCCCCAAAAGAAGGATGTGCAATGAAAATCAACTTGGCAGAGCGCTGAAGAGGCACTGTACATGTGTGAAACACTCATCTAAGGTATTGAAGGTCTTGCTCAGGTGAAGACAAGACACAAATCTTACGATGTACATATAACTGTGTGTAAATGTAGAGTGAGTAAATGAAGCTGCAGGGTCTGATGGTCAGTGCAAGCCTGTGACCATCTGAATCTTTCCCTTTCAGATGCTGTCTTTGCATTTCAGCTGCGCAACCCTGTCCACAATGGGCACGCCCTGCTCATGCAGGACACGCGGCGCCAGCTTTTGGAGAGGGGTTACAAAAACCCCGTGCTTCTCCTGCATCCCCTGGGAGGATGGACCAAAGATGACGATGTTCTGCTGGAGTGGCGGATGAAGCAACACGCAGCGGTGCTGGAGGAGCAAGTCCTGGACCCCAAGTCAACCATCGTTGCCATCTTCCCCTCTCCTATGCTCTATGCCGGCCCCACGGAGGTAACGTAGCCATCGGCTGCTCACTGCGGCGAGGCGTGAAGCCTGTCGGTGGGGATGCCGGCTGCCAGCCTGCCCACACAGCTGCAGAAAGCCGCAGGGCAGGCAGTCGGTAGCCGTTGCCTCGCTGTTAGCTCCCTCGATGTTTCGCCTGCAGCTTGCTGCGGCAGCCGTCTCCTGGCAGCACTCGGCTCTGTGGGCTCCTGCGCTTTCACCAGCTGTGTGGAGAGCTGGGGAGAGGGGGCTAGAAACAGACTTTACCGCTGTGACCTTTTTCTCTGTTGGGCAGGGACGCTCATTTGTTTTCTCCCAGTGGTTTCCCTTCTGCCCCTAAATCAGTGGGATGAAAGCAGTAGACACTGAATCTCCCCTGAAGGAGGAAGGAGAGGGCTGCGTGGGCAGCCTCTGCCTGTGTGCGGCTCAAGGGCTGGTGGGCATTGTCTTTGCACATTCAAAAAGCAAACCGCTACCTCCGTTTGCTGACAAATTGGAACACGACAGTTCCCATCCCCAGCGTTTCCCTTGAAATACGTGTCCTTAGGACAACTGTGATGCTGCGTCAAGTCCAAGCAGTGGAAGACGAGTCTGGGCAGCCTGATCACTATGAGAAACTGCAGCAAGGCTGCTGACGCGTCTCCTTCCTTCCTTCCTTTCTGCGTGTGGATTGCCAGGATCTCTTTTGCAGCCCAGGGCAGATGGCTCAGTTGCTGCTCAGCCCTCAGCCAGCGCTTCTTGTGTCTCTCCTTTTCAGGTGCAGTGGCACTGCCGAGCTCGCATGATCGCCGGGGCCAATTTCTACATCGTGGGGCGCGACCCTGCGGGCATGCCTCACCCCGAGACCAAGAAGGACCTCTACGAGCCCACGCAGGGTGGGAAGGTCCTCAGCATGGCGCCGGGCCTGACCTCAGTGGAAATCATCCCCTTCCGGGTGGCTGCTTACAATAAACTGAAAAGGGCCATGGATTTTTATGACCCGAAAAGGTAACACGGGCAGCAGCGTCGCTGTTTCTTCAGCCTGTGCAGCTGAAGTGTGCAGTTTGAGATCGCGTCTGGCTTGCAGCTTGCCAGGGGAGAGGGAAAAGCGGTCGTTGTTCCTCTTAAGGAGAGGAACGGGGGAAGAACCTGTGAAAGCCACCAGCTTTCCCCTCCAAGAGCTGACACCAGGTCGAGGATGGGTCGCACGAAACTAAAGATGCACCTTTGTAGCCACCAGCGAGGATAAGAAACACAGTTTGGGGACTAAGTGGCAGTAGAAATACAGCCTCTCGCAGCTGGAGAAGTGTGTTACGTACAACCCCAGCTCCTCTTGAAAGAGCAACCCCATTGCTGCCGATCATAAACCCGGGCATGAAACTGCAGACGGGTGCTGCCGGTGCGGGGAGGTTTCTGACCGCGTGCTTGGTACGGTGGAAGAGCTGCGCTGCGGATGACTCCGGCCAGTTGTGCTGATTTCTCCCCTGTCTCTCTTTTGCTGCAGGCACGACGATTTTGACTTCATCTCGGGAACACGCATGAGGAAGCTCGCTCGCGAAGGTGAAAACCCACCGGACGGCTTCATGGCCCCCAAAGCTTGGAAAGTCCTAACCGAGTACTACCAGTCGCTGGAAAAAAAGAATTAACACTACTCCTCCTCCCTAGAAATCCTTGTATTAAGAGTGAGCGATGATTGATTGATTCCCTATGACACAGATCAGTTACTTGGTGTTTCCAGTGCTCTGACGAGTCAGGATTTTCCTACCCGGGTCAGAGTGGTTTTTACTAATCAGAAATACTTTGAGCCTGGTCCTTCTCCCTGCCAGGAGCGTCCCTGTGGAGCTGGAAGGGGAGGGCAGCAGGCCCTTCGTTCCCAGCTGAGCGTGGCTGCAGGAAGCCCGGCACGGCCTCTGGACGGGCCAGCCGCATCGTTTTGGTGCTGCCAGAGCTGTGCACTGGCCCCCAGTGCAGAGCTGGGACCTTGGCACCGGGATAAAAACGCGTCTGTCCCCTGCGTGGAGCAGAAATGAAGAAGTGCCTTTCCGTTCTCCGGTGCTGCCTGAAGAAGCGGGAGCAGCCGCTGAAGCCAGGAGCGGTTGCTGCTGCTGGGGTGGGAGAGGGAAATGGGCACTCGATGCTCGGATCCAGTCGCTGCCCTCCAGGCTGTGCCTTAGACAATTTTTGCTAACAAACAGCATGATTTTTTTTTAAGTGCCCTTTTTTTAACAGGATTATTTTTTTAATTAGCCTTGACCAGCGCCAGTTCCTTGTGGCCAAGTCGATTGCTCACTGTTCTTCTTTGCTTCCTCCTGCTTGACCTCTCCAGTCAAAACAAAACCTGGGCTGAGCATTGCTGGTGCTGCTCCGAGTTCAGCTTTCCGTGGGGACTCTGCCATGGTGATCCCTGCGCTCCCAGCCTGGGAGGCACCGTAAAGCCCGGAAGATCACTCAGAAAGCTCAGGACAGCAAGCAAAAAGAAAAAAAAAAAAAAAAAGGGAATGCTGTTTACGTGCTTTTGTGGTATCTTCCCACCTGCCAGGACCGGATCAGCGTTTCCTCTGCCCGTGCTCCTCCTGTCTGAAAGGCGAATTAAAGGCAAAACAGCAAAATCACAGTGCGAGGTGGGGCTGAGCAGCTGTACCCGCTGACCCAGGCAAGAGATGGCTCAAGCGCTCGCCCTTATCCGTACCCGTGGCCCCGCGTGGGTACGGGTGACCCGATTTTACTTCGTATCTGTGGGATGGTGACACTGGCTCCGGCTGGGGGCCGTCCGGAGGACAGCAGAAAAGTCCTTAGGTCCGCCGCAGCTGCGTGGGGTGACGGTGCCAGGAGCCAGTGGCTGGTGCTGCTCCCAGCTCTGGCTGGTGGAAAGTTACTGCAGCCCTTATCTTCTTTCCCCCGTGCCGCGGACTTTGCCGTCGTGTGCGAGGCTTTTCCCCCGACTCACAGCTCTTGCGGTGACTTCTGAGCAGCGTGACTCGGTGCTGAAGCTTTACCTGGCCCTGTCTGCGTCTCGCCCCACGCACATCCCGCTGGCACCGGTCACGTGTCTCTGTGGTGGTTGAAGTTTGAGGGCAACACCCCGCACGCCTGGGAGCCCCTCAGCCCGCGCCGCAGCGTCCTGCCTGCGCTCAGCAGCGGCTTTCCCAGGGAAAGGGGTGATCCCGTGGCCCCGCTGTGCTCAGGTGTGAGGGTTTTTTTAGGGGAGGAAGACAGCTATGCACTTGTTAGTTGTTGCAACAACCTGAATTGATGATTTTTGTACTCATCGTTCTTTTAGTAGATGCCCCGGGACCAGTCAGAATGTGTTTCAAATTAAATGGAAAGAGCATTCTCCTCTTCTTGTACTTTGGTTTTAATTACAAATGGATCTGCGCTCAGCAAAACCAATCACGCTTCCGCTGGTAACTTAGGCTAGTGAGCTCCATCGCAAGCTAAAACCTGTTTTGCTGTGGCCATGGTACAGGGTCCGAGACTATGTGTGCAATTGGGAATATTTTTGCAAAAAGGCTTTTTTTTTTTCCATTTATCAACTGTTTTGTTTGGGGTGGGGGGGGTCTTTTTTTTTTTTTTTAAAGTACTGAGCAAAGAGCCCGAAGCTGTATTATACCTCAACAAAAATGCGGCAATGCCCACGTTAGCAGCTGAAAGCACACAAGCACCAGTGCCTTTTACACTCGGGCCCTCTGGCAGGGACCTGGAAGACAAAAACCAATACTCCCGTTTATGATTGCAAGAGCTGTCATTTTGAAGTAGTGAACTAGTGCTGTTGCTGCTCATCTTAAAATAATCAAACTTTTTTTTTTTAAAAAAAAAACCACAACCCTGCAGTAAATCCAATGGTTACAGCAAAACACAAATGTCTTATTATCCTTTTAAAATAGCGTAGTGTACTGATTACCTCTGATTAAATAGAATATGTGGACTAGGTGGTTTTTTTTTATATAGTGTATTTATTAAAGACATGAGACTGGAATTTGTACCTTGACTGATGCATCTCATGATTTAATATATTCTGAACTTGATACTCTACTACAAAACACTCACTTTTAGTACAAATAAATATTTATATGTGTAACTAACTCTCACGTCCTCATTTTTTTTTTTCGGGAAAAATTACAACCACATGGTTCATCTGTGGCTGTGACGGGTCTGGTAGTGGTAGGAGCCCCCCCGTGCCTTGGGCAGGGCGAGGGCTGCG